TTTAGAAAATTCTTTTGTGCTTAAATGTATAAATAAGTTTGACTGTTGTGAAACTGCAAAACTAAAAGAAACTAAAAAATCAATTATGTAAAAAGTTAAGTAAGTGTTTTTTTTTTGCGATTTTCCCTATAGAGCCAAAGGTGGAACGGTGGTTTTATAATTTTTGATCCTCAAAACACAAAATTTCCCAATTTATTTCTAGACTTTTTTTAAAGAGCTTAAAGACAAATAATTTTATATATTTAAGTAACAGAGACAATTCAAAAGATTGCAAATTTAAAATTCCATGTTATTCTTAAGGAGAATATTGTTAAATGTTGTGGTTTGCTTGTTTATGGATATATTTTGATCAAACTTGGAAAATACTACTAATATTTTACAAAAAAACACACATTTTTGATTTCCCTGTAGCAGCAAATCTAGGTTAAACCTAATGTTATTTTAATAGATTTAATTGAAAATAAATTTAGGTAGATGAAAATCCGCTAAGTCGGCTGCAGTGGGGGTATTTTCTTCTTGTTTAGTTAGAAGACCCAGTGAGCTACATTTTATTCCAAATAACACATATTATAATACTGGGAGTGACTATTACTATAGACTGATGCAAAATTCTTATTTGATGATAGCTGAATATGTTTGGTATTTTAGTATTTTGTACGATACAATAAAGTTAAGCTAAGCCAAAATGGTCGAGTGATTACCTTTTTTTAATCTTCATAATCTCTAGGAAAAGTCTCTAGGAAATTGTACTAGACAATCATATTATCCGGACTGCAGATAGCCGTCGAAAGCTCCTGGAATAACATCTTGGAAAGCAAGGCCGATCATGATGACTGCCATAGTCTTCAAGAAAAATACTAAGACACCGAAGACTAGGTGCTGAGTATCCTGTGAAATGCCGTCCAACAAGAATACTAATATCATGTTGATCAAGAAATGAAGAAGGAATCGTAAAAAGTCGCATAAGGATATCATTGTTGTATCAAGTGAATCAAATACGTCAAAGTGTAATGAGGATGTAAATGAACATACGTCGGTGTAGTCAAATCAGGGAGCAATAATAAGAGCGAGAACCAAATAGATGTACTACATTACCACTTGTGTGATCTGCTTTACTGACATTATTAATCGGTAAAGTGTGTGTGTGTGAGTGTTTAACGATGCCGAGTCATCGGGAAGTGTAAGAAAATTAAATATATTGTAGTGATATGTTAATGTAAAAATGTGAGACAAGCAACACAATACCTACGTTTTCGTAAAATGATTAGATTAATAGCACTAATATAGATTAATACTATATAGATTAACAGTAAATACATTTCTATACTAGTTTATACGTAACTAAAGGGAAATAAATTAAACTCTTGAACAAAAACTCAGTATAGAAATTATTTGGTTTCGTCAATTTCACTGTGTCAATGTAGCTAAATGGAGGCCATTACACACTCTGCTCTGCCAATCAAAATTTGAATACGGTGGTTGCAAGTTAATGTCATGGAAATGCCATTTAAATCGAGACACCATTCAGAAGACTGACTACATAACGTCTCATATACCTACCACCTCCCAGTCTCACCTTCACATATACATGTAACGTACTTATTTATACATATACAAGTAAGTTTGAAACTTGAATAAATTGATAAAAAATTTGAAATTACTTATGGACCTAACAACAAACCAGCTGTGACACATATTTATAAATGGTTTTTATAACCTAAATTTAGTAAGACATAATACTTTTAAAGTGTTTATTGTCACCGTAAATACTCTAGTTGTATCAGCTCTGGTAGTTTCAAAGTTTTCCTTTGTAAAATAGGCCTAAGTTAAGCGTGTAAGCCATTTAAGTTATTTGGTCCATCGTAGTATTGAAAATTCTGGTTTGGTAATCTAAGTTATAGATATTTTAAAGATTGTTTTGATGGCCTGTTGGTATGGATTGTTTCACATTGTTTTCATAGATTGTGTATAGATATTGTTTTATAGTTTGTTTTAATGGATAGTTTATTCATATTAAGGACAAAAGTTATTTTGAAAAGCAGAATCATTAATGTATCTGAAAAACGCTTGCTCAAAAATAACTTTTATTTATTTATCATTTAATCAAGTATTTACAGCATAGAAAACATAATAATTTGACGAAAATCCAAAAGTGTTTAAGGCCTTTTTTAAGTTAATCTTATTGAATCTAGAATAAGCAACTTTATTGGTTTGTTTGAGAGGATAATATCAATTTGTTAAAATTGTATAGCAGTTTTAATGTTTTATTTTACAATTAAATAATTAGAAAGAGTGGATTTGACAATGAACTGGTTAGTTTTACCTGCCAGGTTTACAAAACACTTACACGTTTAGGAATATACAAAATTATTGAAATATATGAGTTAAAAATAGGCCTAACTATAAACGAACTATGAAGTAATCATTGGAATTTAAAACCCAATTATTTTCGTATGAAAAGTCCAGATATAGATAATGTATGTAATACTACACAGATACATGTAAAAGAGTTAATACAAATCATTGACTAAAAATGTACATATTAAAATATTACAAAACATATAGAATGGGGGTGGGAGCTCTGTATGGTATTTAAAACCACAAAAATATGATTGGAAAAAATATGTACCTTTTTCCAAGTATTGCACCATCATCGATCTTGCCTTTACCACCATATTTATATCACTTGACACACGCATACACTAATCACAAACACTAAACGGCCTGAACCTAAACAAGTAGGCAATGGAACCCTACGAACCACGAATACTAGAAAAATACCGGTATGAATCATAAACATAAAAAATGACGTTTTTGGCCCGAAAATAAACATGATTTAACATTGCTTAAATGGAACTGCCAAAACATATGTTCAATGCTATTAGTATGGGATTCGGGCCAACAACGTCATTTGTTTATGTTTATGATCCATACCGGTATTTTTTCTAGTAATCGTGCTACGAACACTGCATGTAGTAACAAGAAGGACGTCGAACCGTTCAACGACGCGAACAAGACAACAATGAGCCAATACGAAATCAACTCGTCATGCGAGTAAAGGACTCATCAGCTGTTATCCGCGTAAGGATAAAATGGCCTTTGGTTTAAACACAAGCCAGCATTTGTATACTGTATTCTAAAAAAATAGTGGATTATGTTCTTAAAATTATTATTTATACGCAGGAAATAATTATAATGTTTAGCTACGTTATTATAGTACTGCAGCAGTATTAGCAGTATTACCGGTCTCACTTTCCATACATGTAACTTTGTATTTACCTATACTGTGTTACCGAATGTGTCAATGTTATTAGATTAGATCTATAATCATATTTATTGTTGTTAATATTGTGTTAACACAGTATTAAAATAAATTTATAAAAAAAACTTATATTTATGAATCGTAAGCTCAGGTAAAATGGTAAAGGGAGTAAAGGTATTTTTCCTACACTTACCTATCAATGTACATGTTCTCTCACTGATTTGAGAAAGCAAAGTGGCCAATTTGCTCATCAGTGAGACAATGTTAACATTGTCTCAATCTAATTACTTTGACTCACTCCAGTTTTGCAACGTGAAGGCACGAAATAGTGAGCGCGTAACATGCAGGCAACGTCGTATGCGCGCGGAACACGTTGGCAGCACTGGCTGTAAATCAGCTGGTCAGCTGTTGTACTGTTGTATTTGTCACTTCACAAAAAGTATAATGTGCAACTCGAGTTCAAAGTACAATTGCCTCACTCGAGAAACCATTCCTCACTCGCCTACGGCTCGTGAGTAAGGATTTCTCTCGAGTAAGTCAATTGCTCACTTTTCTCACTAGTTGCACAAATAACTATTTCATGCATTATTTCTGAGGTTTCTTATATAAAAACATAGCTTGAAAAATTCCGTTTAGTAGACCTTTTTCTTTAATTTTCATAGAAGTAAAACTACTCTCTTGGATTTTAAACACTGTTTTGGCCATTCACTTCTAAATTCTATAAAAGAAAAACACGGTAGGAAATTAATTGTAGATGGGTGAAAATGTCTTTGAGTCTTCCGACAGATGTAAAAGTTACTTTGTTGCTTATAACTTGAAGTCATTATTTTGGGGGATTCATCCTTTGTGTTCTCATTTTATACTTCCTACTACATTTGTGTGGAAAAATCTGTAAAATAAATTCCTCATTTCGTAAGAAATCCTGACTTGCGTAATGAGCTAACTTAAAGCTAAAACTATGCACGAGCCCCATTTTTCTACTCTCAAACGCACATTTTAATCGAAACATAACATATACTGTGCATTTGATTACTTTGTCTGCTTTTAGCACTTGTTCATCTTACCGTATTTTAATCAACTGCTGTTGTAGTTTACAATATAATACAAAAATATCCTCCACTTTAAATCCTATCAACAAATTCTAACTTTTGGGGCTACCTACCAAATATACACATAAGACCACAAGTGTAGATGTACAGTAAATTAAAACCAACAACTAATAGAAACATCTTAACAAATTTGCCTATTTTCGTTTTCCTAACACAAGTAAAATCAAATCAATTGTTAGCTTGGATTAATATATTCTTCAATCAATTATTTAATTTATCCTTCACCCAACCTCGTTATTTTATAACTATATGCAAGCTATACGTGAATGCAGGTCCTGGATCTCGGGTTAGGAGACACATATACCCTACAGTACTTATGAATATTTTATAATTCAAACTAAGAATCAGCTCGTATTGTGCTTTGTTGGTAATTCGATTCAAATTCAACTCAAGGGTAGTTTCATTAGAAGGATGTTTTAAGAAATATCAATGACAAGAGGTGTCGAATTCTTACAATTTATGTATTTCAATTATCGATCTTGCAGTGCACACTGTAATGATTAAAGTTTTTACAGGGAAAAATTTCAAACTATGAATTAAATTTTGTATTTGTATCTTGTTTCTGTGTCTGTACTCAATTACAATATAGTCTAAAATCTAAACTATTATAAGGTAAATAACACACAGAATTGTTGTAAAATATATATTTCGTTTTCATTAGCTTTAGAACAAATTATGAGAATAATCAATAGTAATATTATTAACAACTATACAATGCACGTAGTCCCTCGGACCTTGGTCACTTGGTAATGTCTTTAACCCCAAAGCGATACGGAAACAACGAAACATACAATCAAGAGAAATATACATAGTTACACAAATATGGCGACGATCACCGAATAGCTAAGTACAAACGAAGATCGAAAATAAATAATACTAAGGAAATAACTCGTATGTAACAACTATTGAAAGCTTGGTAACGAGTATTCAGAGCGGTCTAGGTTTACTCTTAGTTATAAATATCACCGACTTTCATACACCTCTGTACAAAACCACGAAAGCAACGTGAAAAATATTCTTTCGTTGTATAAAAATTACAATCCCGTCCCACAGAAAACATTGAAGCGGAAACGAAACACTAAAGAAACATCTAACGGCGAAAAGGAACTGCTGTCAGGAATGTCTTGTAACAAATATATCAGTCATTTACCACTATTTCCTCAAAATACTTTCGATATTTCAGATACAAAACAAGCTTTACAATGTTCCCCCTGTTCCCCACGAATTTGCCCAAAAGGGGACAACTATACACTCTCCCTTACATCTTACACCAAATAAATACGAAAGCGGTCGTACACCAAATGAGTACAAAACGTCAAAGTCCAGGAAAACATTCTAGCTTCTTATTTTACACTTTAGCACCATCACGTTTCCATTGTTTTGAAAGTCTCCCTCTGACGAACACTAAACTAATTCGGCTGTTCCATTTCTTCCTGGATTTGTTACAATGTCGGCGTTAGTATAAGGACGACCTGTGGACCTGTAGAAGGACGTGTTGTTAAGTGCCGTCGAAGCCTCCTAAGTAAGCATAGATCAGTTGGACTATGTTGAGAGGGTGGAGGAACTAGCATCACCTCGCTGATAACAGAGGGCTGAGTAGTGATAATGTGACGGCTAGGTACAGTAGGGGTGGTAACGGCCACAGCTTACCCCCTCCGGAGTCACATTTGCCTGTAACAGTTAACATTGTGTTTTAAATTAGTAATACCTTTGACTATCTGTATAGCCAAACCAATAGTCAATGGTAATACCTTTTAGATATTACATCTCTCTTTAAAGTTGCCACTAATTTTTTTTATTACGTTTTAAAATTACTCCCCTTTTTTTTGTCCTAGGCACGAGCCTGGGATTGCTTTTCACATTAATCCAGGCTAGACCTAGGGGTTGCGGCAATATCACTTGGATAACATCCATTGGTGATTGGACGGGATTTGAACCCGAGACCTCAGGGACTGAAGTCCCGCGCTCTAACCACTAGACCAACTCGCTCCCCAGTACTCCCCTGTGGAATAATATATTTTAGAAATTCCATCCCCTTGTTAAAGTGGTCACAAAATTTATTATTACGTTTTAAAAGTACTCCCCTATCATCCCCCATGTTAAACGAGTGTCGCCGATGTTTTAATAAAACTCGTCCTAGTTTATGTGAGCCGCCGACAGATTGTGCTGATCCAAATTACTGATTTCTGTAGAATACAAAAACTGATTTACCAAGTAAACGATGGAAGTGATGGAATTATTGCGAGCTATAGCAATTTTTATGACCCATAAACTTCATCGGCAAGAAAATATAATTTTATACACTATTATTCTGTAACTGTCTCCCAAAACTTCTTGTGAAAAAAATAGTGACAGCTGGTACATATAAATGAGATGTTAACTTCAGTATCCAATTTTCTAAAACTATCTACTCATTATGCTAAATATAATGCGGTGGAGAGTATCTATCTTGGAGAATGTCTTGCCTCTAATACAGTTAATGTTTAATTAGAATGGTAATTATGTGTACATGCACCTTACTTTTGAATTAACCGTAGGGGACACACATAGGAGGACAAACATAGTAGGATTCAGTATGAGTTCAACTCATACTGAAATGCACACTTTTGTAAAATCATTTGCTAACACAACTTTCTAGGCAACATTTCTGAAAAAAAATTCACCAAAACAATCGACTAAACTCACCGAACTCTGTCATGTTGAAGGACCAGTACTGGCCAGCTGCACCTGAAAACACATGCCTATGACAGCTCTCAGTGACTGTGGCAACTTGTAGTAGCGCAGTTTGTCCACTCTCGGCGGAGTTGTACATGACGAAGCAGATCCTGTGCGCGCCGCCGGACTTGCGACTCTGTGGTGAAGCTATCAGGTATCTTGTGGTCGCGTTGGTATCCGACCAGACTGCGTGGCAGGAGAAGGCTGCAGAAAAATTCAAAGAGTTAAAATACAATTGAGTATTTTTTAAATGTTATCTGTACTTTATATGGAAACGACATTTGGATACTGATTGATAAATAAATAAATTTGATAAACTTTTATCTATCGGATTGGTGTATTCCAAACTTTGTGTAACTTCCTGTTGTACTCCTAAATTAATTTTACTTTGGGGCAGGCTAAGCAACAGAATGATTAACACCTAATGATTCGTAATCAATGCTTTCAAAAGTATTTTGTTTCTTACGTTTCTAAGCACTAAAGTAGCAACTAAGGAGACCCTTTGGATGATTCCTAAATATATATTGAGGTTTATCAAGTTGTCTGACTATTCTATAAATTCTGTATCTTCATAAATAAACTACCACTGCGAAAACCATATTATTCACACACCTTCTTTTAAGATTTTAGTCAGAATAATGTAAATGAAATGTAAGCAAATAATACGTTGGTTAAGTTATTGGTACAAAACTGACAGTTTTCATTAACATTATTAGAATTACTTATTGATTTAGCTCATTTGGACTCCCTATAAAATGTGGAAACTAATCATGTTCACAAACTCTAACGGGCTTCCATTTTGTAACGAATTAGACATAATAAACAAGTATTTTAATTCAAGTGTACCTGGAAAATGGTTTATACAAACACTGTCGACATGAGGATACTAAACGTTTCGAATTAAAACTGAATTAGTATAGAGTGAAGTCACATTTTGCTCATCTTTGAGAGTTGTACCTACCTGAGACTGCCTCGGAGCTGCATTGGGAGTAGAACTTCATGGTGTGACCAGGGCCACAGCCCAACATGGCCCCCTGGTACTGTTGGTCGCAGGTGATCTTCTCTTCCAACAGCTGTTTGGAGGCGCTGGGAGCGTTGCCCTCTGTGACTAGGTAACGTCCCATGAAGGGACATTGGCGCACTTCAGGTGTTGCCGCTGAACAAGGAAATACAAATGAGGAGGAAGCTCAAAATCCTACTATTATTAGTATAATATTATAAAATTGTCTGTTGCACTATCTCTATGCAATTGTTATGTAACAATATGCAATTAAAGGTTTTAGTTAAGTCTTGAGAAATCCATCCAACATTTAACACCAAATAGGATTTGTAAATTGTTACTGAAGCATAGATTAAAGGACTCGTTTAAACTATGATAGTTGTTCAATGTAGAAATAACGTAGTTCTAGTGAATTAATGGGAAATGTTTTGTAATTTTGAAACTACAGGGCTAAAAATGAGTTTGGAAACTCAGGATCAGGTTCCAAACTCTACACGAAGTTGAGGGAACATAAAACGCATACAAAGTAAAAGCACTGTCTTTCGTCTAAAATATTAAATCACTTTTATTTTATAGATGTATTATTGATCCAAAAAATGTAAACTTCAAAAATATAATACCAAGCAAGATAAAATAAAAGCTAAATGTTAAGTTGAGGTTTACTAATGAAAACAATTATACAAAAAAATTCGCCCTAATTTTATTTTACAGCACGTTACAATACAAAAAGAACATCCATGCATTAAACATTTAAATAATAAAAATCTTAATGACATAACGTTCGATTTGCACTTTTAACTCGTTGTTATGACTGAGGAGTCCTTAAAAATCAACGCTAAAATCCCTTTTATACGCTGTCATGTATATATTTTTTCTACTATTATTTAATTCTTTTAGCTTGAAATGTATATTGTTTAGTAATAGTTGCTAAGCAACGAAAATAACAATAAATGGTCTTTGTCACCTATTTGTTGTTGAAACCTATAACATCGTTTACATTTTTGAAATCCAACAGTTTGAGATACTCTGTAGACTGCTGAAAAAGATTTTTTTTTCGGAAAGGGACAAATTTTAAATTTCAACTGATAATTAATTGCTAGTCTACAGATGATTTTATTATATACGCTATTACATTTTAAGATGTGAATTTTGTTTGCAATGAACATAGTTTGACTAACCCATTTCAAGTTTCATTCTAGATTACCCGTTGAACTGGAAATGGGATCAACTAGTAATATTACGAAGTCTTGTGACTTTATAAGTATGATAATAAATTAAACTAAAAAATTCTAAAATATATTTATAGTTAGGTATTGTTGATATAAAAAAACAAAATTGTTTATTTAACTGTTTGAACTTTCTTGTATCGTTACATTAAATGTGTTTTATCAAATAATAATAAAACAAGTTACTTAAACCAAAATCTAAAGAAAAACTTCATAATAATAATAATATAACTATATCCATGAATTGGTAATAATAACCAGCCTGTCCTATTGATGTTAAAGCCTTACAAATCTATGTTAATATGTTTCTGTATAAAAATAATTATGTACAAAAACTTACTTATTAGAGTTGTAAACGGTAAAATTTGAGGGTTAAAGTTGGATGGACTGCATGCATCCTCTGGCAGAAACGTCCTGTTGGCTGAAAAAAAATAGATTGATAAATTATGCAAATAACATCTCAATATAACATGCAACTGCCATTTAATAAAAAAAAAAACTACGAAATAGGATTCAAAAAGGAATTAGTACGAAGATATTAAATTTTACAACTAAAATCATACAGGTTTGTAGCTAAGATCAATTCAAATTCAAATATATTTATTTAGGATATTACAAGCATGGCCTCGCCAAGTTTACAAAACTAGTCGGCGAGGACCAATAGATTCAAAAAAATAACAAAACAAAGTTTACAGGTTTTTCTATTTTTCTTTTGTTTTGTTTCCTAAGTACAAAGAATTATGAAAACTAGTTCTAAGGCGGTTCGTGGCAGGCACTTATTAATAGCAAGAGTGTTTTGGCAGCTAAACTTAATTCTAAAAGCGTTAAAAAGTAGTGTAACGAATAAACAATAAATAAAAGGTAGGAGTGAAAGCTCATGTAACGGCATTCACCTAGATTGCAATCTTTTGTTGTCTTTGGATTTGTGAGTTTGTGTCGTGTGGTGGTGGTAGTGGAGCGAGTGAGTGTCGAGAGAAAAAAAGAGTTGCGTGACAAGCTTGAGTCTTGTTTGTTCGTTTGTTGGTTGAACATAACCTTACACTAAAAATGCACATTTGTTCATAAGCAGAAAAAAATACAAATTTTATTAGATTAAAGCTTTCTTTTCAGTATTCTACCCTGAAAATGTATTTTTGTGTATTGTGGCCTTAATCTTGTGGGATTGGTTTATGTTTTGGAGTGTAGTAATAGTGCCAGCTAACAAAGTTGTATGTAGTTGATTATGTGGTTTATGTTCTAGGCTAGTGTAAGAAGCAAAGTTTTGTGTATGTAGAGTGTCTATGTTTGTGTATGTTGTGTTATATGTAGTTAAATGCCACTTTGGCCTAGAATCGTATTTTTAGGCTGGGGGATTTAAGGTAAGTCTGTCTCACTGCTTGTAAGCCATTCATAGACTGCTATTTTGTAGGCCTTATAATTCTCAATACCTTCTATCCTTGTTGGTAGCCTATTAAATAGGTATGGTACTAAATACTCTGCAAGTCTCTTCCCATATAAAGTATTGAGTATCGATGTTCTGTATTTTATAGCATTCCTCGTATGTACTGGTCTTTGAATTTTGGTTTAATAAACACAGTTTCCATGATATTGAATTAAAATATTGAATGTAAAAATTCCCTTTGGAGTAAGTAATTTACCTATACTATATTTAATATCAATGTGGTTAATATGGTCCATGGTTAATATGGTGGTTAATATGGTTATTATGTGGTAATTGGATTTAGAATTCACTAAACAAAAAAATACCAGCTGTTAAAATAACAACTGATCAGACTTTAAGTGCAGGCATAAGTTATCTAAACAATTAATACTCGTAATCAAGGGGATAACAAGAGATGACCATAAACATAAACAAATGACGTCACTGGTATGAAGTAAACAATCGCAGCCTCTCCGTTAGTTCTGTTTCGATATGCAAAAAATTACGTTAGGGCCAGTAACGTAATTGGTTTTGGTTATGTTATGATTCCTTTCACTAGTCGTTCTATTTGCATATACATATTCATATAATTTACTAAACAATCTGTATAACTTGATTCTGCTTTAAATTATGATAATATTTGGTTTATGCAACTTATCATTGTGCTTTACTGCTAGAAAGTGCATTAGTATTTAGGCTTGTAAATACATTGTCTTACATGATTGCTGGAGCTCAATGACGTGTCCGTCCCTCTTGTAAAATAGGAAACAAGAGTATCCGCTGTGGCTGTAAAATAACTAATAGTTATTTTTATGTCACTAATATTTTAACAATTGAAGACAAACATTATCTAACTGTATCTTCTACTGACATTTATCCATACACGTGAGCAGGCTTGGTAAATCTCCTGTGAATTGTGTGCTCTAGTGGTATTGTCCAGGCACGTAGTGACATGAAGTAGTGCATTAGCCAATATCTTTATACAGGGTGATTAATATAAGTGTGCCAGCCGTTTTATTCGAAAACCATAAGAGATATCAAAAAAAGTTAAATGGTAAGTGCCTTGGACTTTTTATTTAAAAAATTGTAGTAAAGTCGAAAAAATTTTTTTAGTCGCCATTTTTCCAATATGGCCGCCAACTTTGATTTTTCTTATGGAACACCCTGTATTTTATGATGTATTCTGGTAGAAAATGTGATTTTAAGACGATTTTATTCTTGTTATTTTTTAAGATAAAAATGGTCTTGTTATTTTTTTTTTAAGATAATAATGGTTTAAGTTGTGAAATTTTGAATGGTTTTCGAATAAAACAGCTGGCATGCTTGCTTAGGCCTGTATCGAAACTCTTTCTCATGCAAAAATTTCAAAACTTTAACCATTATTATCTTTGAAACGGTTAGGTTTATGAAAAAAATTACAAGAATAAAATCGTCTTAAAATCACATTTTCTACCAGAATACATCATAAAATACAGGATGTTCCATAAGAAAAATCAAAGTTGGCGGCCATATTGGAAAAATGGCGGCTAAAATAATTTTTTTGACTTGACTACAATTTTTTAAATAAAAAATCCAAGGCACTTACTATTTAACTTTTTTTGATATCTCTTATAGTTTGCGAATAAAACGGCTGGCACACTTATATCAATCACCCTGTATATCCCACTGTAAAATTACATTAAGAACACAACCTAATCTCTTTCTTGACGTGACTAAGATAATAATAAATAATACCTTATATCAGTAAAAGTTTGTAGTTTGAAGTAACACATTCAGTCCTTGAAGACACCCCTTTAACAATAGTTAAGTGTTCGCATATGCTGAGCTATCCCAACAACCTTAAATTCAATGAACAATTACGTTCCAAAGAAGAATTATTACACTGTATTATGTTGTAGAACCAAATTTGTAGATGTGCAAATACTGGGTAATAACTTGTTATACAAATAATAGGTTGTAGTTTAGACCTTCAGAGCTAGATAACCATTACAAAAAGTCAACTTAAAGACTCGACTCTGTTTTGATCTTTTACCCTGAGATGTTTTATGCTTCTAATCATAAACGTTCCTGTAACTTTAGACTTACTATGCTCAGGTGGAATAGGCTACTGCTGTACTTTGGTTCTGAGGCATTCTATTGTGGTAATAAGCCTTAAATCCCCAACAAACACAGATCGTAAATCATGTGGTATAGTTTGATTATGATATATCAATTTTGTGACATATGTCACTAACTGTGGCATTAAGCTAGTCTCGTAGGATTGCAGCTCTTATAATTTCCAGTAACTATAAATTAAGAGTTCCAATTCTTAGAGTTGATCTTTCGTGTTTCGTTATAAACCCTACAATCGTTTAAGACTTGGTAACTAGTTGTAACTAAAAAAAAACATGATCTTAACCCCTATTTCATTAGCACAGCCTTATATGACAAACCCCTTTCTATATCCAGTTCCTAAGCTAATATTTGTGGACTAATATACTTAAAATTCGTCACAAAATGTACCATGACGTTCTACTTACCAGCCTGTAGTGACGTGAGCTATTATCTTGGCCTGTGTATCCGAATCTGTTTCGTAAGCATGACAGACTGCTCTCATCTGCACCTTGGAACTGCTTCCACTGTCGCTCTCCTTCAGAGTGGCGTTCCTCGGAGAGAAGTGGAAGGTCTTCTTGTGGTCGAGGGTGTGCCACTGGTGATGCTCCGTGAGCCATCGTGGAAACCTGCATGACTTAGACTCTGCTCCGTGGTGGTGTGACTCGACTGGAAGAAAACGTAATTATGAATACTATAGTACATTACAGGTACTAAGCAATCCAACATTTAGTCCAAGTCCCTTCTGTAATTTCATTCTCATGAAGAGTCGTGAATTGACTTTCATGTTAACATATTGGAGATTCACGGTCTTTGGGTGCAACAGGGTCAAAATCAAATAACTCACCAATTTTATGGGTTTGATTTAAAGTACATTTAGAGAGACTTGGCTTCTGTACAGTTATGAACTAATTATAAGTATAGACGTGCTTCGACGAATTTGACATAGATGTCACAAAAATACTATGAGTCTATTTTCAAGATTTATGTAAACACCAGTTGTTAATATTACCTCTAATTACCTGTACAATGTTTTCAGAGGAATTGTTCAAAGATTTAGTTATTATAATGAATACTTCTGAAAAACATTTACAATTATTGAAAGTATTGTTCTTACTGCATTGCTGACTATAATAGACAGTTCCTCGAGTTTAAAATTAAATATAGACACGAGACCGTTTAAAATATGAAAATTTTTCGATTATGATTTAATTTACTTTTTACAGTCATACAACTTTAGATTGAAACATATTTTAATTTAGTTTAAATTTGGTTATAGTTATATTTTTACGTTATGTTTACCCAGAAATATCTTCCTAATTGACTCATGGCATGGTTTTTTGTAGACATAGTTCTTAAATGTAGAAAACATACTGTAGACTAAAAGGGTTGTCTTTTTTTGTCTTTTAGATTGTGAACCACTTAAGGTATACTTTGAAACATCGAGTCACAGCTCTTCTATGTTAAACGTCATTAATAATTTAAATGATGAGAAAGTATGTTCCAGAGCGATCTGGTCTAGCGGTAGAGCTAAAGGCTTTGGAACCCAATGTCACAGGTTCAAATCCTGCCAATCATTAATGGGTTTTATCTACAGCTTGTGATAATGCTGCAAGCCTCAAGTACTCGCCTGAAATAAAGGAAAACACAGTTCCGGGCTGGAACCTAACGCCCTAGGATGGAAGGTGGGAAAAAAGAGAGCTTATGATCCCAACCGACTACATGAGATTCCTGGCCTATAACCCCAGATGTAAGGGTTTACACTCACCCTTGGTCAGCCTCATGGTCCTGGACCCCTCAGTTGGCGACAGTAGTCCATTACACGTAGCATCTCCAGACTGCGCCACGTCGAATGCCACCTTGGTCTTGCTGTAGGCTCGTCTCTCCCACACGAAGCAGCGGTACCTGTCCTCGTCAGTGGTGGCCATCTTGTGCTGCAGCTGGCCAACCAGATACCGCGTAGAGCCGTCCTTCCAGTAGGCGAGACACACCAGCTCCTCCACTGTGGAAGAACGTTTTAAGTTCTCGATTTTCCAGTAGTAATTGAGTAAAATACAAAAACCCTAGTTTGGAAATGAATTAAAGTGCATAGTTTAACTAAGAGCAGCGACCCCTGTGATCCTTTTATAGCCAGCAGAACCTGCCGAAATACTAGTATCCTAACGTCCTTATGTCGTTCACATTTTGATCTTAAGGGTAAAGCGTGTCATGGTTATCACTAGTATTTTGAGCTAACGTTTTCGTTTTTATTGAGTAAAATATACTCTGAAGACCTTTTATGAAAAAAATTTCAAGTCAAGATAGTGATAGCCTACCCAAGTTCATATCTGCAACTACTGACCTGTACTTTCAGAGTTGTGGACGTCCGCACAAGCCTGGTACCTCAATAAGAGTCTTGAGTCTTCCGTGCAAGCGTCGGCCCTTGACACTGGTGAACTGTTGACAAACAAGTCCGTCAGATAAAGTAAAGTAAAATTTTTTATGAGTCAGCATCTGCATTCCAAACTGTTTAATAATGTTTGAAATAGTTTAAACTATTGACCCAGATATGATTTTCATTAACGAAATTGAATGCTAGTGCATATTTTTGGAACTTCAGATCATTATTTAGGCTTTAAGCATGCGGGAAAAATTGGGTGAAAGTTGATAAATTTTCTTGGAATATCTTTGAATTACGTATACAGCCATTTTAATATTTTAATTAAGTCCATTATAAATCCACCACCAAACCACCAATGTTAAGTACCTACCTCTTAGTATTTACAATTAAAGTTTTCTTTTAGAATCTTATACTTTAACCCAATATGTCCTAGCATGGTTTGAAAATATAAAAGAAAAAAAAAACATATTTAAAACATTGTTGCTTGAGGTAGATCTTACTTTCTCATTTTTTCACAGTTGTAGACAATAGAACAACATCATTTGATTCCGGAAAGCGTAGCATATTGTATATAATTTGCGAGTTATTTAGTACAGAAGTCTGAATTGTTTATCCTCTTTGATCTAGCAAACGCAAGGAATAAGTGTAGAGTCCAAAATATTTTCTAAACACGCTGAGCGAGAAATGTGTCAGAATAACTTACTTGCAGTCGCCAGACCCCCTGTTGTAGGTGAAAGTAAAGGGGGGCCTAAAGGGGCACGGGGTGGGGGTAGCATCATATCGGAACATGGAGTAGAGAGGAGCATCTCCGGTGATTTGCATGCACAAGTCATCCAAGCCGCCATGTTTGTTAACACAGAACGCTGAAACAAGCATAGAATAGTGTTTTGATGCTATGTTTGGAATAATCAAATTCTAACACTAGGTCTTCTAAACTTAATTACCTTAGTAATTTTACCTACTTATTTGTTTTAGAGTGTACCAATACATTTGGCATAGTGCAAGAATTTTTGTCTAAACCTATCGAAATTAAGTTTTGTCCTTTTTGTGAATCTATTAAATTAAAGATTATAAAAAGTTCATTGTGGATTGAACTACATATATTTAAATGAATAAGTAATTTGAAACGATGATTGAAGTAAGACTGTGTGAAACTGGGGCGGTTGTTAGTTTATCAGTTATTTCAAAATTCGTTTATGGCTGAAGATACATGTCTTTTAGTCCTACTACATCTCCCTTTTAGTGTGCACTACATTTCTGACGAATAATTTAATGAATAAAGAGAGGTCTGGAAAATATTATCAACTGAAAAGACCTTTCAACATTATAATATGTTTCATACGTTTTGTGAACTATGGTTGACTTAACTACTTGTACGCATTGTGTACATAAATATTTTTTTGTCAATCCAATAACGTAAACGTAAACAAATAGAAGTGAGACTTACTTTCTTTGTATTGTAGAACGTTCGGGTGTTTTTCGTGAATAACGACACACCTATAACACCTATCTAACCTGAAAATAACAAAAATGAAATTAGACTTACAGTTGGACATTTAGAAAAGATAATTTACAAAACACAATAACTATTCACATAGGTGTGAGTAGAATAAGAATTCTTAAAGTAAGGAGACCACATAATATTTGGTTTAAAATTAACTACGTAACATATTCAAATACTACTCCACTTTAGGTTTTTCCTATTTATTTCAATTTCTCAAATTTACAATTCCACCTTTCTCTTCGCAAAATAATTAAATATATTTTTTTTTGTATTACATAAAGCTACGCACTGATGAAAAGATTAACCTGTGCAAGTGTCTACAACTTTTCGGTAGGTTTTTAACTTTAGTTATTTTACTAGTAGAAAGTGATTTGGCTTACACATAACTGATCTTCTTACTTTCTACTTATATCTTCTATGTCTTTTTACTTATCTTCATACTTAACACTTACTTATCTTCTACAAGGAATTTGTCCCCTTCGTGGTAGACACAGTTGCCTTTGGTCTCTATAGACGTGGAGTTGACTATGAGGTGATGCTGGACACCACTCTGGAACCAACGTCCGGACCAGGAGGGTGGGAACTCGCATGCTCCTGTGGGAATAGAAAATATAAGTTGCTAAAACGGATAATTGAATATTAAGTGACGAACTGTAGGCCCAGAGCAGGAATTAGAAAATTGATTTGCCAATCACATCAGAGCATTTGCTAGACACATTCGAATTACACAACATATCTTCGGTCAAACATCTCAATAACAAACATTTTAAAACAATAATATTTATTGGTTAGCTTTCCTAGGTTTTCTGTAAAAACTTAATACGCTGCCTTCATCGGATCCACACATTTGCTAACCTTGAATCCTTGCAAATAAATCAGGATACTATGCAGAGGTATACGAAGACTATCTTAGTTATTCTTATTGAGAACCTGATTTTCTTTTTATGATCAGAGAGAGTCTGGAAATATATGATATAGTTTTTAGCTAGTCTAGATTCTTAATTATAGTATGGATATATGATAGATTATGTTCCTTTTTAAGTATTTCTAAAGCACGTAATCTTATATTTGAATTATCTGTCTTGATGGCAAGAAAGTCTTTTGACAGAATTCGTTGCAAGTGTTTATTTATTCAACATAATTGTTCACCCTATCAAAGAAAGGTGTTACTTATTTGAAAAGATATTTTAAATGTTATTTTGATACGCTTTGAAAGTGGATTTACAACCTTCTATACCCTAACGCACAGATGTAGACGTTATATTCCATTCTTCTTCATCGAGTAAGAGTTATGTCAGGTATAAAAGCAAATGGTTGTTGTTAATATAATATCACATCACGTAGAAGCATTTCTGAGAGAAGATTACGCCTGAAGCGGATTGCACGGAGTTACGGCCTTCATGATTTCTGCTGTAAAAGATGTTAAGACCACGCTATTGTCATCTTTATGTATGTGGCAATTACTTATATCAGTGCAGAAAATTCTACATTTTATAGGGAATAACGTGTGATTTAGGATCGTTCTTTTATCACTACGCGCATGCTGTCATATGACTTATTTAATAACTTTATGACCGTTGTTAAAATAGCCTTTTCAATTCAGTTCTCAGAATTGAAAACACTTAACAGCATTGTTTACTTAAGAGCATTGTTTTGTCACTTAACAGTACAAGTTTGGACCAATGAGGTTCTAGGATTGAGAGAAAAGAAGTAAAATTGTAATACCTCAAAACTTATCAGCTGTTAAATCCAATTAAATTTATTACACATTGTGGTTGGGACTTACACCACAATGAGTAAGTACAATGAGTAAGTATGAATCACTACAATCAGTGGTAGTGAGATAAACGAAAAACCCTCTCTTAGAAGTTGTGAGTAGTGATTGTTAGTTATCAAATTTAGTTCGTAGGTAAAGTAGAGTATAGAATCTATTCCACTATATACCATAGGGCCATTGGCTGTATAGGCTATTAACAGCTGTGTCTAAAGAATATGTCGGCCTTAGTCACTTACAAGACTACAAGATCGCGCCACTCATCCTACACTTATCTCCATTCATACTTAACTTAAAATACCTACTTTGTATGGTCGCCATTTCAATGAAAAAGTAATAAAGTATTAAAATGTATTGTCGTTGTTTACAAAGGGAGACGTTATTTTTTGTGCCAATTTAAATGTAAATTTAACGAACAGTAAATGCAAACATGAGTCTTGTAAGAGTATAAACAGAAGAACAACATAAAATATATGTTTTACTTCTTACAACAATTTTAAGTTACCTACTTTCAACTAATGCATAAGTAATAGCCTAGACGAGTCATTTATATTTCTTGGAAACGAAACTCTAGCCATAACCGACGACCAAAGTAAAAGTGAAGTAGGTTACAATGAACAGTTTAGAAGTGCTGTTGGTAGATATAGCAAGTTTGTTGAGAAATCCACCACTTAGAACTTTAGTAGTTAAACTAACTTGTACTGGGGCAAGAAAGTCTAATTGTTTTAGGTTTCTCTTCAAAAACACTTGTTTCTAGGGAAAGTGTTTAGGCTGTCTATACTTTCAGTTTTATATGACATAATTAGTTTGATTGGTGATTTTACAAACCCTCCTTTAGGATATTAATCAAAAGATTGCATTGCCTAGTGTGGAAAACATAATCTTTACTTTCTCCCCACATTAGTATATGAAAAAAGTATTGTTTTCGTCAAAATTTTCGAGTTTGAGTTTAGAAAAAATAGATTAAATATATATTCGTTTTGGGTCCTCCTGAACCCAAAAAAGTTGTTTTCAAAATTATGTCTGTCCGTGTGTGTGTGTTTGTGTGTGTGTGTGTAGATGTGTACAGAGCTACAGGCCACACATGTCGTCCGATTTTAATGATTTTTTATGTCGGATGGTACTAATCCATGGTATCTCCAAGTTAATTTTTCTTAATTTTTTTTTTTTTACTCAAATATATTTATTTACGTGCATGGCCTAACCAAGTTTACGAAACCTTTCGGCGAGGGCCATAAGAATAACAAATGTCAAAGAAAGTATGTCGTTTTCTTAGTACAAAAAGATTATGATACTAGTTCTAAAAATTCAGATTTTTATTGGTGATTTTTCCATAAAATAACGGAAAATGGATTTTTAACAAACTTGTTTTGATTGAATTTCGTCTGTAATTATATAAGGATATAATAGTCCCAAGTAATTGATAATGATTGTAATTGTAATTGCAATTGATCAAGGATATAATAGGATGTAATTAGTAGTAATAGGATATAATATGTAAGGATATAATAGTCCTTATAACTCTTGACAAAATAGTACATGGCTGTAAAAATTTCAGCTCAAAAGCTATTGCAATTTTTAGATTTTCCCTAAAAATATCAGAGTTACTCCTATCACTTAATGACAAAGGTTGTTGAAAATTAAATAGGAGAAAGTATGTGTCAGATAAATAAACATTGGAAAAATGTCAACATTATATTTAAATTTAAATTTAGAGGTTAAGTGGTAGAGAGGACTTGCAAGTCACCTCTTAAATAAAAACATTTTTTTTTAATTTCATTAAATCCAGCTTTATTTGTAACATGTCAATGAAACATTTCAATTCGGCAAGAGCAGTTGGAAGAAGCAGTTCAGTAAACATTTCACCGATGCGTGAGTTTCTGGCAATTATGGATCTTCCGATGTAATTGTCCTCATTCAACTTGAATGAGCTCAAGAATAAACAGATAGCCTACTCTTCGGCAGCACGCGAGGTAGGGAGTAAACGAGATATAAAAAGGTTTATAATTGTGATATAGCGTGCTCACCGGGTATGCCCGAGCATTAATATTATATGATATGGATATAAAAACGTAAAGAGGGGTGCTGAAACTGTACTACAGTGGTTTAGGATTGCTTATGCATTAAATATGGTGAAAATTAAAATATTTCTGTGTTAACGTTGAATCTAGAGTTAGAATAAAATTTCACTTTGCTGAATTTGTCACAGATATATTTTTTCGGCTGTTGATTGCTATTCTAACTGTTGGTTTTTATTTATATATTTTTTGTGACAAGAACTAGAAAATTGAATATTTACCTGGTTTTTAAGCCTTTATTGTTGCAATTTAGTTTTTTCCCCAATATGTTACATACAATTCCCCCTTAAAAGTTCCACACACTACGGTGAAAAATACACAGTAGAAAACAGAATTCTGCAAGAACAACGGCTCAAAACAAGCCAAACAATTTAATAACATTTTTGAACTGGATAATTTTATTTTATAATATATTTTTAACTACAGTATATTCAAAAATGAAATATTCGAGCTCCAAATTTTAATATATTAAATTAGCTTATAATTAAATGTGATTAAAAGTTGTGAATGTCAAAAATGTATGTTTGGTTTCCAGTCTTAAAATAAAATATAAATCATCCTTTTTAATGGTGATTGTTTTTTTAAGATTGACAAATCATTCATACTAATAGCTTTATAAAAAAGAAATATATAGTTAAAGGACAACATTGATCTACAGGGCAAGTAGCAGTAGCTTTATAAAAAAAATTCATAACGTTTAAAAAATGCATTTTTTTACTTTTATATAAAATTAGAATTGTTTCCAAATCTATGTTACATAATTTCAATAATCCTACCACATGTATTTGAGCTATTAAGATTCTCGATTGCATGTATTTTAGAGTCAGTAATCATGGTAAAGTGCAATTGATCGATCCACATTGAATGCGTGTTCTACTCATGAGGGACCTGTCATCACTATAGCAATATATCGACATGTTTACTGAGCGATCAGGTATACCGTTGTTAGAAATGCTGTGTTTCCTTGTTATTTCTAAAATACATCTGTTATCATGCAGCTCCTCTGATGTAAGGTGTGTATATTCATAGTACATTAAATAGCTCTGTCATATTATTTATTTTTATTTTGCAAAAACAGACATTTCTTCTCATCATGAATAGAGAACATTTATTATTATTACCTAAAAAAAAATCTCTTGGCTTATTTTATGTATTAGAATTATTATGTATGTCAAACCATTAACATTTTCGTACAACCTTCCTTCTTTCATAATGTAATTTAAAATGCAAACAATCATAATTAATATTTATACTCATGGTTATAATTTCTAAGTCTATCATTACTAAGTTAGTTAAAACCTGTTTTTTCCTACATTGATGTGATTTGAATGTTGTCAAAAGCTCTTAAGAAATACGATAACAATCCAAATAAATATCATCATATTTTTAGATTTACTTAGGTTTTTGGGACTTTGTATTTTTTTAAGGAAGGTTTCATGTACACTTCAAATGCCATAATTAATTTTAAGATTGTATTTCTACTTTTAATATTTATAACACAATAATATTAGTAATACACTAATACTATTAAAACTTTTTATTCATGATGATAAGAATGCAGGCATGGATACTACACACAGCATTAAGAAAACGATTAGCGATACTAAGGTTATAAATAAAGATCCGAGTATGGTTGAAGTACTAGCCTTCAAATGTGAAGGCCACTGGTTCGATTCCAAGCTAGATCTTTTTCAGACCCAGATGTCATTTATCATTGAGATATGAAAACAATCATGCTATCT